CATTTTATCACATTAAGTCCCAACTATCTAGACTTATCCAAAATTGATTTGGGGAAAAAAAAAGTGTGAAATTGACCTACCTTTGTGTGTGTATATATATATATATATATAATAACTGATTTAAAAGTATGGTTTCATCGCTACACAGAAATTACCATGTTTCAAAAACAGAAACTAAAAACTTCAAATTCAATTATATAATTAAATCAAAAGCATTAAGTTATAATATTTATGCTCAGTAAATTTACATTGAGCACTGTTTTGTAAAAATAAAAATATCAATAAGAACACCAGATTATATATCTTACTGTTCTTTCTTTTTTTACTATGATATATGTATGTATATATTTTGACATGTTATCAAAGCTTAAAACAGGAAATAAAAGAATCATTTATGCTTCCAAACATGGGTTTTATTGTTTCATGCAATACAAAGGCTAAAATAGCCTAAAACCAAAAAATAATATATTTAGAATCCTGAATGGGTAAATATACGGCTAAATATAAGAAATGAGCAAGACTGTATCACTAAACTCTCTGCTGTTGTCAACTGCTGTGGAAAGTTGTAAACAACATGTGGCACTGCTCATTGAGCTAATGGCAGCTGATTAGTTGCTAATTTCCTTTATACTAATGTTACTGTTAACAAATGCTTAATTCTCTTTCACATTTAACACAATCAAAAATAAACCTTTCTATACCAATATCTAAAAACATCACCAAGTGGACTCTGAATTTTCACCTATCGCAATGAATGGATATTCCCTTATGTAGGTCCCATACCTTGAGTGCCTATTTGGACTTAAGCTCAACACATACCTCAAATGGAATTTGTACATATTATTTATTGCTAAAGATATTAGAAAAATAGTCGGTTCTCTATACCACTCCAGTAAGTACCTGACTCTTGCTATCCTCTAACTTTACAAGAGCTAGATCAGGCCAAAAATGAAGTACTGCTGCCATATAAAGGTAGGAGCTGCCAAGTCTTCACCTTCCAGTCTTGATAGAGTCTAAAAGCATCTCCGTGTCCTTGTGGGTGATGAATTATTTTCTACCCTGCAGTCCCTTTCCCACAGACAAAATGGTGCAAACTTCTTGCTATTCTATCACTATTTCCATGAAAAGTGTTCAGACTAACTACATTACTTAGTTCCACCAATTCTAGCCTTCATGGCTAAAACTTGCCATGCCACACACATTGTAGTGAACCACCCTCATTCTTTTTGTATTTTATTGGCAAGATGTTTCACTCATGCAGTTTCTTCCCACAAACTGCCGCTTTGTAAAACTGCCTCCCAAGAGCATGCTTCTATGATCAATAAAATCTTGTTCTTTTCTAGGGTTAACCGTTATCTTCTCTATATCTATAATTCTCAAAATGTGTGTGTGTATGTATATGATCGGATGTTGTTTATGCATTTCCACAGTTTTCATCCAATTTCGATGAAATTTATTTTGTTTGATAGATAATTCTTCAGTGCCAGTTTTTTAGTCCAAATTATCGGTGACAATGGCGCTCCATTACCTCCTCAGCAACATTTTTCTATTTACTATCTGTGCTTGGATATATATCTTTCATAAAAACTTTAATAAAAATAGTTTAAATTATTACATTAATATTATTTTTATATTTTTCAGGGATAACCCCCATTCCAATTGTTAACCCCCCAATTTGGAGATGTGCCTCAGTTGCACCCAAATGTTGTTACTAATCTTGATTTTTCAGTGGGCTGACTTTAAACTTAAACTGCTCCAATTGAACGGCAAAAATTTCCTGTAATGAAAGACCCAGTCAAAGATTGGTTATACTGCCAGTATTCACATAAATTGTGCCTCTTACTCTGTAATCCTCTAGCTCATGTGGCTTGTGCAGGGTGAACATCACTGGGTAAAAAAAAAAAAAATCATAAAAATTTACCAACTCATCACATGCCAATGCTATTTCACTTTTAACTGGTTTTTATAAATAGAAAATTGGAAAGGACTAGATATAAGAAACTCTAAGAATAGCCAAGCTGAAACTCTGCTTCGAGGTGAAGCCATTGGTAATCCAATGTAGTTTACCTAAATAATGAACATATTTCTGATATGTTGTTGATGCTCTATTAATGTATCCCTGTAAAACATTTCCTGACCTTGTAGATAAAAAAAAAACAAAGTTGAACATATCGAATTTAGTTATGAAATGGAAACAAAAAATATATTAACTTTTCTCGATATCATGTTAAACAGTACTGATAGATGTCCTAAAACTAAATGTCTCTCACGAATCAAATAACAAAAATGAGCTTGTAAATTTCTATTCTCACCATAACAATAAAATCAAATCTAGAATAATTATCAGATTCTATTTAAAAACACTCAGAATTTGTAGCCTTCCGTATTTACATGATGATGAGAAATACATTGAAAATGGTTTTAAGTTCCTCCCATACCTTAATTCAAAACTTAAGTCTGCATATTTCAAGTGCAAAAGGGCTTGTTTTGTGATATAATTCAAAGAAAAACAGAAGGCTCATCAAATATTTCAGAATAAAAAAAAAATAAACATTCAAGCAAATCTAATGAAATGAGATAAACAACTCTACCTACCAACTCTATCACAACTACAATAGAAAATAATTAGCTTAGCATAAAATTTGTTACAACTACTTCCAAATCAATAAGAGAATACAAAATAATAAGCTAAAACTTGAAGGAATAGTTTACCCTGTCACCTATAATGATTGCTACAAGCATTACATAGGAGCAACCTTGAGGAATTTAAATAAAAGATTATATAGGCACAAATGGGATTTTCTGCAAAACAGCATATTCAATGCATTAGTCACTCAGCATAATGAGTTTGACCATAATTTTAATTTAAAAATAAAATGCTACTTTAATTAAAAGAGAAAGCAATTTACTAAGGCATAAATATATAGAAAGTGCTTTGAATGCTAAATCATCCATGTTAAATTTGGATCTAGTTTCTTACATTTCACCTTTCTTGACAGATCTTCTATTATCACAATGTGGGACACTTAATAAAAGGGGTAAAAACAAAAGTATAGAGAAACTGAATGAGGTCAGCTAGACTGCATCTCCAGACATGCCTGAAAAAAAAAAATTAAAAATTTTCAATTTTAGCTTTCCAACATCTTCACCATTTTCTCTCTATGTATAATTGTAACTGGTGCTTGTGTTTTTATATCTCCCCCCTCCTACACATATAATTCTATCAATAAAAACATTACTTTAAACTGATAGTTCTTTTAGCAACTGAAACATGTTACTCAGAATTTTTTCTACTTCATTTTTATTATTCAAATCCTCATTTTTGGAAACCAATTCTAGTTATCATTTATTTATGAATTCACAAAATTGATAAGAGAAAGCTCCCAACAAAGCATTGATCTTCTGAAAGGTAATGACCTAACCTTCAGGTTTGATGATACTGTCCTCTCTAAGGATTGCTACAGTGTACTCTTATGTGGCTAATACAAGAGGTGCTTTAATAATCAAGAGAGTTGAAATTTTTCCCAGTACAATAAATGGAGGCCTTAATAAAAGTCAAGAGACATTACTAAATCATTTAAAATATCAAAAAGCTCAAAATTAATGAAAGGGGTGGTTTTAATAAGCTTGAAGGTGGGGGTTGGAAAATTTCTGTCTATTAGCCACATGAGGGTACTGTACTGAATGAAATAGATGTCCATAGTTGTAGGTATTGTTTTAATATACACTGGTAGCATAAATGTTATCAGCATAGAAAACGAAATCGGAGACTCTGGTTCGAATTCAGACCAAGTTTGTTGCATTTGTATTGCACTAATTCTTTTAGAAAAGGCATTAATCTTTTTCACATCTTTATTGGCGGAATAGCAGGGTAGACTGAGCTTTTTTAGCCTTGATTGACAATCAGTCTAGGAGAAAGGCATTCAGACTGGTTGGACTTTGTGTTAGCAGTTTCACCCTGCGAAACCTACTTGTTACTGAAACTGCTGCAATATCAATTTGGTGTTGCAGCTCTGACCTCTAGGGGGGAATTTACAGCTTCAAGAAGCAGCAGCAGCAGCAGGGGACTAGAAGATAAGAGTTATTTTACATGCTAAACAGTTTTGAATTAGGTGGTCATCATTGGAGAGAACAAAATAAGTCTTCGTTTATCAATACTTGATGCTTCTATGCACATTGAAGTGTCTGTCTAACTATGAGATTAAAGAACAATTATTCAATTTCATTAACGTTTCATTCAGGTTAAAGAAAAATTAAGTGTTCAATTTAATTAACATTTTACATCCTATTTTTTTCTTTTTTTAAACAAATATGGCTTAAGGAATTAATATTGTAAGCTGTTGAGTAACTGAATATCAAGCAGAACTTATGCTACATTTTGGATCAGTTTAGTTTTAATTTTTTTTCTTTTTTTACTAAGTTTCACCAAATACAATGCTCAAGAGCCACCCAAAGTAGAAGGTTACTGAATGAAGTGTGTGATATGAATGTAAGAGGAGGAAGAGGGAAGGGAAAATTATGAAGAAGATAGGTAACAATTGACCCTTAACATGAATTGTAGTATTTTAGAGAAGCATCCCTGTGGGAGTTTGTTCCATAAAGTAGCACATTTTTGTCCTAATTTTTTCTAAAGTTAGCAATATAACAGATGACCACCCAAATATTTTTTATCTAAACCCATTTGATGATGTAAGTTCTGAGATTATAGAATTAAATTTTCAATTTATTATTTGATTGATTTGTTTTTTCTTATCAACCCATTGACATTATAAGTGTGTAAGAATTTTTTTTTTTTTTTTTTTTTTTTTTGAGATTATAACAAGTTAGTGATACAAGTCTTACTAATTAACCCATAGCTATGGGGAGGAAGAGGTGGATTCATACCTTTCCCAGGGATATTAACATATAAGCAAATATAACGAACCCAACAGGAATTGGAACTTTGTTCTCTGATTAACAATTCCAGGCCATTATCCATTACATGACCTGCATATCCAAGGTTACAACGCCTGGTGTTTTCAAGTAGTCACCCATCTAGGCACTGATCAGGCTTGATGTTGCTTAACTTCGGTGATCACAGGAGAACCAGTGTTTCAACATGATGTGGCCATAAGCAATTCATTCTTTAAGCCAGCATCTTTTTCTTTCTTTCTTTCTTTGTTACTTTTAATAAAAAGGAAGCTACTTACTTCTTAGGATCAGTTTTGTTTTTAATTTTACTAAGTTTCACCCAATAGAATGCTCAAGTGCCACCCAAAGTAAAGGGTTACTGAATGAAGTGTGATATGAATGTAAGAGGAGGAAGAGGGAAGGGAAAATTATAAGGAGGAGGATAGGTAGCAAATGAAAAAGTTAAAAATTGTAACACTTCAGAGAAGCATCCCTGTGGGAGTCTGTTCCTTCTGTTAAATAACAATAACTGGCTGTGATAGCATTAAGCAGAAGAAATGAAAATTGAATTAATTTATATTCAATGTTATGAGTTCATTTTTCAATAAATAGAAAGCTGAACAATACAATTTTCTGTTTTTATTTACTAATATTATTCAGATTTTTTTTTATTATATTTTTAAAATTAATTTTTATAAATAACTTTGCTTTACATATAAAATCTATATAAAATTTATTCACTTAAATTATTACATTTTTTAACTGATTTTAAATAAAATGTTTGGTATTTACTGATTTTGCAAATAGTAATGATTTGATAGCATTATGATTACTCAGAAGGGCAGAATAGAAGGGTAATTTGGAATAAAAGAGTAGATTGGAAATTTCATTCAAATTGAATTTTTCCTCAGAAAAAGCGATAAAGAAGAGCTTGGAATAAACAAGAAGATTGGAAAAAAATAGAAAATATAAATGAGTATTTTGGAATAAGAGAACATAGATTGGAAAAAAAAATCAAAATTTAAGTAGACAGAGACACAAGAATATTACATAGGGCTTCTTTTGTAAAGGTGTTCTGACTTTCTCAAGTATTATCTAAAATTCTGTGATAGGTTTTTATTTTTTTAAACTAGATGTCTCCTTTTCACTTTTTGGTTGTTCTTTTTCCTTCTCTCTCTCTCTTTTTTCATTTCTCTCTTTTTCTCTTTCATTTCTCTCTTTTTCTCTTTCATTTCTCTCTTTTTCTCTTCTCTTTCATTTCTCTCTCTCTCTCTTTCATTTCTCTCTCTCTCTCTTTCATTTCTTTCTCTCTCTCTCTCTCTCTCATTTCTTTCTCTCTCTCTCATTTCTTTCTCTCTCTCTCTCTCTTTCATTTCTTTCTCTCTCTCTCTCTTTCATTTCTTTCTCTCTCTTTCATTTCTCTCTCTCTCTTTCATTTCTTTCTCTCTCTTTCATTTCTTTCTCTCTCTTTCATTTCTCTCTCTCTCTTTCATTTCTTTCTCTCTCTTTCATTTCTCTCTTTCATTTCTTTCTCTCTCTTTCATTTCTCTCTCTCTTTCATTTCTCTCTCTCTCTTTCATTTCTTTCTCTCTCTCTCATTTCTCTCTCTCTCTTTTTTTCTCTCTCTCTTTCATTTCTCTCTCTCTCTTTCATTTTCTCTCTCTTTCTTTCTTTCTCTCTCTCTCTTTCATTTCTTTCTCTCTCTCTTTCTTTCATTTCTTTCTCTCTCTTTCATTTCTTTCTCTCTCTCTCTCTTTCATTTCTTTCTCTCTCTCTCTCTTTCATTTCTTTCTCTCTCTCTCTCTTTCATTTCTTTCTCTCTCTCTCTCTTTCATTTCTTTCTCTCTCTCTCTTTCATTTCTTTTTCTCTCTCTCTCTTTCATTTTCTCTCTCTTTCATTTCTCTCTCTCTTTCATTTCTCTCTCTCTCTCATTTCTCTCTCTCTCTTTCTCTCTCTCTCATTTTCTCTCTCTCATTTCTCTCTCTCTCTCTCTTTCATTTCTTTCTCTCTTTCATTTCTTTCTCTCTCCTCTCTCTCATTTTTTTTTTCCTTTTGTCTCCAGGTTCCCTCAGGAAGTGCACATGGAAATCTTTTTCAATAAGAATGATGCCCCCACCCCTCAAATTAGGATACTCTATAGATTTGGATGATGTTGAGTTCATGCTGCACTAAAGATTACCTGCTATGACCTACACCTGGGGAAGGCCATTAAGTGCAACTTTCTGAAATTCAATCATTGATAGGACTCTGAATAATTAATGAAATAATTATTTTCATTCATTTGTCTGGTTTAATAAGAAATGTTATATATATATATATATATATATATATATATATATATATATATATATATATATATATATATATATAAAATAATTTATTGTGTCTGTCCAGAATATCTGTATTACTAGATTGTTGAAGTTAACTAAATGAGGAATGATTTTAGAAAAATAATTTTGTCACATTTAGATAAAAAAAAAAATTCTCCAAAAATCCTACCTCATTTTATACATGGCTGTTTGAGTGACAGGTACATATCTTAACTGCTATGGAGCCTTGTTTGGCACTTATCCTTTGATGACAACACAATGAAATAAATATTTGATTAGAAATGATTGAATAGTTATTAAAAAATAAATATAATGTTAAAATAGAAAAGATAATTAAGCACAAGTGTTATAATTACTGTTTTGGTTTGTTTTCCTCAATATTCCTCAACAAGTTATATATGTGGGTGTGTTATACAATAAGACACACACACACACACATACAATGTGTGTGTGTGTGTGTATATATATATATATACATACACACACACACACACACACATTATATATTCATGGTACTTATTGGAAAGTGCTCAATATCAGTGATAGAGCTAACATATTTAGTTGGATTGAATTGAGTTTGTGACCCTGGATTTCACACTATTTGTGATTGTCAGACAGCATGAGACCCAAGGTCACCAACTTACATCAATCCAAATAATATATACATGTATTTTTTAAAAATATGATTCCATTGCGACACAGAAATTACTATGTTTTGAAACTGACTCAAGTTTAGAACCTAAACATCACTTGAGAATGAAACTGTACTTTAAATTTTAAGTTTAATATTAAAATTGAACTTTAGAACTTCAGTCAGTTTCAAAATTTCTGTGTTGCGATAAAATCATATTTTTAAAAAAATAATTTTAATTTTAAGCTCCTCTGCTGTATAGAGCACTGTTTTTTAAAAATAAAAACATAAAAATACTAAAGAACTTTGGATCATTAATCTAACTGTTTTTTCCTATTACATCAAATATATATATATACACACACACACACACACACACAGTAAGTTATAGATGTTAGTGTGTTATACAATAAGAAATACAGAGACTTTTATATTGGAGAAAGAAAAGTACAATATCTACAAAATTTTATGTATATAACTTAGGAAACAAAGATTATGATAATGTTCTCTTTTTACAGGTTTATGAATTTAAACCTTACAGCTTTTCTCTTAATTTACTTTGTTTTCACACACACACACACACACACACAAGTAAATTTTAATTAGCTCAATTTATTAAAAAAAATGCAGAATACATGCTGTCATTTTTATTAACTGAGTAAAGCTATTTAAATAACACTCTTCTATGGCTGAGATAATAATTTATCTAGTGCCTGAGGTCGGTGTTCAAGCCCAGATAAAATACTAGGATTTGAATACTGATTTTCTAACCATGCAGACAAGCATTTCTGACTTAAAAGATTAGTGTAATACAATTTCCTTAAACCATTCATTCTGCTCCTACTATTTGGTCTACTAAATCTATCACAGAGAATGCTATCAGACTGCATAGTCATTTAATTTTTTTTTTTCTGTTTGCAGCAAAATTATTCACAATTGAACAATGAAAAATTATGTGTCGAGTATCATCTTTTATTTTGTCTAATTTTTTTTGTATTTCTTGAAGGAAAGATACAGTTTATTCATGTGCTTGTATTTGTTGTAAAAAAAGGGTAAGTCTTTATTCTCACATGTGGATTTAATGTTTGAGATTTAAAAAAAAAAAAAGAAAAAAGGATAATTTTTGGCATTAAAAATTTAAGAAAATCTGTAATACTTTCATTTCCTGTGTGTAAAGAAAGTCAGTATGTTAAGGCTGGATTTAGTGAATTCCATAGTAATAAAAAAAAAAAATAAATATAAAAGGAAAATTACTGGGAATTTTTTTTTTTTCCTTTTATAACTGATTTATGTTCTTAAAAGGTTTTAAGAGCTGTTTATTATTCAGTATCTACTGTGAGGAAAAATCTGTATGAAGGAAATGAAAACAGAGGTGTTTGAACTGATGCTATTTCTTTTGCATCATTCATTGTTTAATGAAAGAAAAAAAAACAAGATGGGAATTATCACTATGAATAATAATACTAAAAAGATACATCATAAAATCAGCTGTAAATAACAGCAGCAACCATAAAAAAGGGAGAAATGGAAAAAAAAGAAAAGAGAAAGTGTTACTGAATAAATAAAAAAAATGTTAAGAAATTAAATTTCACTAAGCTTGATCGATCATCCCTGGTAGTCTCAGTTGCATATAGATGACGGAGCAGGCAGACACCCTAGTCAGTCCAGTCGGTTCGGTTGACTCTTTGCATTTGCATTGTGTGTCAGGGTAGTTTCCACATGTATGTAGCCAAGCAGAAGGCAATCTATAAAACCATTGACCACTTCATCTGGACATTGTTAGCCGCGTATGGAGGCAAAGAAAAAGAAGAAAGATAAGCCACCGTGGTTCAAGCTTTTTGCAACTTTCTCAGCTCGTAACTTTGTCATTAACTATGCTTAAATATATGTCTTTTCCTGCCTGTGTTTTATGCTAGTGTCAGCTCAGCTCAACATGGAGATCTTAAAACTGCTTGATAGAAGAGGTAAATAAATTTCTTTTTACATTTTGCAATAGAGATCTATTAAATAATTTAAGAAAAGGATATTTTGTGTTAACAAAATATAAAATATTTTAGTCATTTACAATATTTCTGCAGATTTTTTTTATATCATGTTCTATATGCTTTTTATTTTTATTTTTTAAGGTGTTCAAGTCTCATGAAAATGAGATTTAGCCTATTTTTTATGCCACTGCTTGTGTTTAATGTTTGTGTTTTTAGTATTTACTCCTCTTTAAAATGACATCGCCGATAGATTTCAGGTAGGCTGCCAATTATTT